TCTCATAGCATTTCATATATATCAATTGATCTAGGTCTGATAGAGACTACTACATAAAGGTTTCTCTACAAAGGTTTTGGCACATCAATATATAAATTTTTGTTGTCAGAATTCTTGTGTAGTACAATAGAGGGGCAGGTCTTTCAAACCACCCGTAACAATATATATCAAACAAGCACAATATCATATTTGTTATTTCCCCCTCACAGGACTGCCACCATTCCCAAAGGAGTTCTCACATTGGGGTTTAGCCCCGCGCAACCAGAACAAGTTTTGCGGGCAGCCTTGTACAGTGCAATTCCGTGCCCCACTGTAATCTAGGTTATAATTTATGCACATAGCTTTAGTGGGAGAAGCCATACTTATGTGTTATCAGAATTAAGTACATGAATATGAGACTGTAGGGACATTTAAGCCCATGGATTCCGAAATGTTGACCCCAAATAAAAAAAAACTTTTTTTTGGAGCAGTGGGGGCTTAGCCCTTTTATCTATGGAAGCTACTACCCTCAAAAAGCCCAAATCTACAATAAAAATGGGTGATGGACTTCTAGTACCTGCAAACATTAGGCTGACAGGCCAATTTTTTTTTGCTGGTGATGGCTTGGCTAAAAGTGGACATACTTCTACAAAAGTTGGTTAGTTCAGCCACAAAATTTGGAGGCCAGACTGATGTATAAAATCTTTATGAAGGCTGGAATGAAAATGATCCTCAAATCATGGGCAGTGCCAGATTAAGTTTTGGGTTCTTATATGAACATCAACAAGATTTCAGCAGTGGATGTTGGTCAGAAATTGAAGGAGAAGGCTACATATGCTGTGAGCACCACTTTTGAGAAAAATGGATTGTTTAAGGGTTACTGTCAAATCTGCAGACCTTGCAGATAGTGCTTTAGACCCCAAAAAGCCTAAAATTTTGCAGGAAATCTAGCTTTATAGCCAGTACATCTGGCTGTCAAACGGAGGAATTCCTGTTGCAATTTAGAGTGTTTTTTAGACCCTCTCAGTTCTAAATTAACCTCTAATCAAAACTGCAACTAGCTTATGTGAGGACCTTCACTACAAGGCGTCTGAAATAGGATTGGTTTGCCAAACAATGAACACCTTTGTGATGTGAATCAAATTCTGTGAGGGCTGTGAATTCCAACAGGAAGTTATCCAATCAAAATTCATCTGTTTTTCCAAGTTTGTGAATCTAGGAGAAGGTCCAAAACCATCTTTGATGGTGGAAATTGATTGAGATTGAGGTATCTACTAGCAAATAAGTTTTTGGCTTCCTTCTTGGATGTCCTGAAATGCTTTTCACAAACACAATGCATACAACATTAAAGAAAAAAAATCAAAAAAGGAGTGCTGGAACAGCAGAAAACCTGATGGTACAGTGTTGGGTATTGTGGCATACCTTAATTAGATCTTGACTGAAGTACATGTGGCAGGATTGTAGTTACAAGGCCCATCAACTCTTCTTGAATGTAACCCCTTGGCTGATAAAAAAGGCACAAATTGAGCTGAATGATTAAATGATGCAATACTCACACTACAAACATGTAATCAGAATCAAAAAGATGTTGGATCAAACATGTCACAAGAAAATATGTGGTAGATGCCTGTAGGAAGCCCCCCAAGAGTATTTTAACCTGTTACAGGCAATCTCTTGCCATGCAATACATATTATCCTGTTCTAAATTCCATGTAGCATCTTTGGATTCATATTACATGTAATTATTTGGCTCAAAGTTTGCCTTTTTTTCAGGCAAGGGGTAGTTGAGAAGAGGTGATGGGCACTGCAGACTATATAGTGAAGATGGAGTGTTTTGCATATGGGATCCCCTCTCCTATGCATGGTGTTCAGATTTTGATTTCAGTTTGAAGAGAATCAAAGGAGGTACATCCAAAAACCAAGAAATCTTGTGTTTGGTAGGCAGGGAATTTAAAAGAAAATTGTTTCTTAGGGAAGCTTTGGAAGAATAAAGTAAATTCATGATTCCAAAGCTTCCCCTCTCTTCCCTCTCTTTTCCAAGGCCTCCCCCCTCCCCTTTTCTCAAACAGATGCAGCTTCCCCCACACTGCAAAGGGAGTTGTGTTGGTTACAACCCCCTGCACCAAGGTTTACTGGAGGCAACCAATATAAAATTGGTCTTCCAAACCAATCTTATATCAGTTGAGCCCAAAAATGAATTGTAACAAAGTATAATGCATCAATGGGCCTGGCAAATATGAAATTGCTCTGGCAGACCAATCTTCTATCAGTTGCCTCCAGGTGATACTACCACAGGGGGTGGTAAAAAACACAACCCCCTTTAGCAGTACCATCCACAAAATCCACCCAAGCCCCATCCAACAATTCATCCACCTGGGATCCAACCATCATTCTTTTTCCTCCTATTAATTATCTACCCAATCATCACACATCATACTCCTTCATTTTTGAAGTTTTAATTTGTTTCTTGGAGCATCAATATTAGAACTTCCTGGAAAATAAAATCAAATATTTTGTTTTGAAAAAATCTTGTGCTGATGTATCCCCCACGTGTGTACTCCAAAACTATGATTTTCCAGTTTTGTTTTTTGACGCATGTGTGTGATCTGACCCAAAGCCCAACCCACACTTGAATCCTACAATCAATGATATTTTATCTCCAAACAAAGCAATAAAAGATGCCCCTTTCATTATTGGAAGAAAATAGATCAATTTGCCTGAGGCTTTTCTACAAAATGACTCACGAGTAAAAATTAGGCTAAAATGAGCTATTTTAGCCAAAAAATAAAAAATGCCTCAATGAGCTAAAAGTTATTTTGGATGTTTGAAGCAG